AAGTGGATAAAATTCTACTTCTGGAGTAAACTGACGACTTCAGTCTTATTTTGTTGATCTTATTTGTCATTTCATTTGCTTACTTTTTGCTTTATATATACTTTCAGTAAAAACATAGAAATAGTTAAAAATCGTCGTTCCAGGGTAATTACTTCTATAAGGAGTCAGCCAACAATTTCCGCCATTTTGGACTTATTTGTAGATCTTACTTTGCCAATATTTACTGATAAAGGTTTCTCTTTACATGTATCTATAATAGTTTTCAAGAATATATAAAAAACTTCGAAATTTGCCTAAAACTAACATTTAAGTGGCTGTAAATCCCCACCAAAAATGCAAGGTAGCTAGACCTTGATCTTATCATTTTTACCTTGTCAGTTTTACTTTAACTGTCTATTTTTTTAGATTTAAAAACGTCTACGTTTATTTTTTAGCCACAACGGCCATGTGTATTGATGGACAAAATCTCCAGACACACTATTTAAACTAGATTACCTAATAGTGGAGTGACATTAACCACCAAAAATAATTTTTAATGCACCCACCTAACACACGGCTGAATTATAATATCATTCAAAAGCTGATCCTCTGTACTTTCTGTTTTGCCCGGTCGTAAAAAATCGTACGGTGCAATTTCCGTGAAATCAAGATCAAAGGTCAAGGACGAACACTTTCATATTTTTCAAGATGTCAGCACTCTTGCACATTCTGTCTTTCCTATATTGAAATAATGTATGTAAATAAGAAACACTTTTAGAAAAAAGGTTGATAGTCACTTATTATGCGGACTATTAGGTATTTAAAACGTGTTTTCCATAGAGAGCACCTTTTTTCAGAAATTCCAGTAAAAATGATAAAACTTAGTGAAAACCCCCAAAAAATCTTTGTGATTCGATTGGTAATCACCTAAAACCAAATAAGATCCTGTATTTAGTGAAAAAGAATTTTTGATAACATCAATTTACTACAAGCCCGCTTTATGATAATTTAACAATCAATCATAACAACCCATGCAGTTGCCCACAATACCGCCATCTGCGAAAACATAGCTGTTTATCACTAAATTAATTAATGTTAGGTTGTTTAAAAACACAATTCTCAAACAATGGGAAAACATTGAAAGCAAATAGCACATTTGGGTATCGTGTTTTTTTGTTTTTTTTTGGTAATTTAGGGGGTAAAACATAAAATTTGATATTTCAATATGGATCATAACTGCTACTCTGTAAGATAAAACTCATTCGATTGTACTTATTATTTGATTTTTAATTTCATAATCAACGTTGAGTGATATAATTATAAGACTTTATGTATAATGCACAAATAAATAAGAATTTAATTAATAAACATTGAAATTTTAGAAGATTTCTCTCATCTTTCATGACTTTTGTCATTTACAACTAGAAAACTCGTCTTCTAGGCTGATTCACCTGCAAAATGCCTTGTTCGTTGTTTTAATTCACAAATTCATCAACGACAGATACATATGTTAAAACTATCATATACTAGACATTGTAAATATCACTCGGAAATTATTATGAGACTAAGGTCCTAACTCCATAAAAAGTTGATGTATTTGTCGTTCCTTTTGTCATAAAGTTATTAACGTATTCAAATAGGCTTTGAACTAGCTTTCAGTAACTGCGAGTACTCTCGTATCTGTACTTTGTTTGTTTTTTTTTGTGTTTTGTTAGTTGTTTTGTGCTTTGAATCGATCTTATGAGTTTATCTCTTTTCAAATGATTTGTATATTTTGTTCTTATGTGGTGCTGTTAAACCACTGTCCCAATTAGCGGGAGGGTTGGGCGCCCGCAAACACGTTTATCCCTGCTACATTTTATATGTGCATGTCCTAATTCAGGTGCTGTTATAGAATGGTTGTATTTTGCTGTTAACCTTTTTCATATTTTTTTTGTGTTTATGTATTTTGCAATTTGGTCTTGTGTTGTGCTGTTGCACCACAGTCCGTAGTTAGGGGAAAGGTGCGGCGACCGATCACATGTTTAACACCGCAACATTCTGTATTTCAAATTGAAAAAGGAAACCGGGAAAGTGTCAAAAAGAGAAAACAACTAAACTAAAGAGCAGAAAACAGCACAAGGCCACCAATGGGTCTTCAACACAGCGAGAAAATTCCGCACCCGGAGGCGGGCTTCAGCTGGCTCCTAAACAAAAATGTATACTAGTTCAGCTAAAATGGATGTCACACTAAACTCCGAATCATATAAATGAACCAAAATTTAAAAAAGCATACAAAACTAATAAAGGCAAAAGGTGTCTATATCAAGTCAGAAGCCTGTAATTGAGTATCTTATTTGTTTTTCATTTATTGTTTTTTACATAAATCAGGCCGTTAGTTTTCTCGTTTGAAATTTTGACATTAGTCATTATTTAAGGGCCTAGTTTGGCTTACTACCGTATGTGGTATGGGCTGAGCTCATTATTTTACTATAGATGCTAACTTCTACGTCTGCCTCTGGTGTGGGAGGTCGTGTGCTTGATCCCCGGGCTGGTTAAATCAAAGATTAGAAAATTTGTATTTTGCTGCTTCTCCGTAAAGCACGCGGCATTAAGGTGTTAGAACAAAGACTGATCTGCCCAGAGGCAGAATAGAGTTTCCGGGTAGGTTAACCTATCTTCTTCCTGATTGTAACCATGTGAATTAGCACGTTTGAAAAATACTGATCAGTACAAAGCAGGTTCTATATTCAAATCACATTATCATGTTCTCGATCTAAATATGCATAATTTGCCATTTGATGTTAAATAGACATCCATCCATCCATCCATCGAGCGTCCCTAAGAAGATAAATCGAGAAAAAACGCTTTGATGTTGCTGATTAAACTGTATGCATAGTCTTAGATGCATTATTTTTTTATTAGTTATGATTGGCTTTGAACTAGCTGTCAGTAACCGCGAGTACTCTCAGATCTGTACCCGGCCAAGTCCACTCTGTGTTTTTGTTAGATGTATTTCTATTTGTATCCATCTGTTTAGTTAAGCCTTTTTTCAACTGATTTTTATAGTTCGTTCTTATGTTGTACCGTTACACCACTGTCCCAGGTTAGGGGAAGGGTTGGGATCCCGCTAACATGTTTAACCCCGCCACATGCTGTATGTATGTGTCTGTCCCAGGTCAGGAGCCTGTAATTCAGTGGTTGTCGTTTGTTGCTGTGTTACATACTTGTTTTTCGTTCATTTTTTTCTGGTATATAAATTAGGCCGTGAGTTTTCTCGTTTGAATTGTTTTACATTTGTCATTTCGGGGCCGTTTATAGCTGACTATGCGGTATGGGCTTTGCTCATTGTTGAAGGCCGTACGGTGACCTATAGTTCTTAATGTCTGTGTAATTTGGTGTCTTGTGAAGAGTTGTCTCATTGACGATTATACCACATCTTCTTTTTTATATGTGGTAAATAGATTTGTGAAAGATAGATATATGTTTGGACGACTAGCTACGAGCCAAACTTTACTGGGCTAAGGTTTTGCATTACAATTATATGGTAATTGTAAAATTGCTGCAGCCGGTTGTACGAACGTGGCATTAGCCTAATGGGTCATTTAGTCTTCATTAAGCCTTTATGATGCATTAGGCTAATGAAGACTTAATGACTCATTAGACTAATGTCACGTTCGTACAACCGGCTGCTTGTCTTTACTGCAATAAGTGTCTTTACAGTAAAAATGATACTACGGGAACAATCAGAAACCATAAATCGAATAAACTCATTAATCATCATGACCAAAACAAAACGAAAAAACCAAACCAAACAGACAGACAACAGCAGTCCACAAAACTTTACGGTGAAATATAAAAGCGAACACTACAACTGTTTACAATATTAGCTTTTAAAACACAATTGCAAGTAAACAGTATGCATGTTGTTTTATTAAATATGACATCAAATTATTATCATGAAATATTGAATACCTTTCGTACATAGCTCCGAATCCTTGTACTTGTTTGGTTTTACTTTTTGTCCTTTTTGTTTTGTCAAATCTTAATTTACGTTTGTATTAGGTTTTAAACTTTCATATATTTTGGTCTCGAGTATCACTGAAGAGATATAAGTTGTCAAAATGCCCATATGGTGCAATAAAACCGGTTCCGTTTATGTTGTTCATGATCATTAAAAATATTTCTCTGTTCAAGAACCTATTCATTCTTTTACTATATGACAAGTAATTTGAAGACATAATTAACAAAATTTAACACTCTATTCACGTTTAACATGTCTTACATTTTCTTAAGCTTAAGAGCAGCAGCTTCATTTCTTGTTCGTTGATATCATGCAAAAGAAAACAAAATGCTTCTAAATGAAGATAATTCAAGATTTCAATGTTGGCGCCGATTTAGGACCAATGTAATGTTGGCATTTATCATAACTTCAAAAGGTTAATAAGTTTGACATAAATGTGTTTAGATCGTATATTTATTTTCGAAATTTATTTTCCGCCTCTAAATTTATAGAAAAGTATTGTCTTACTGATATTGACAATAATCGATGTGCTATATTAACACATAAAAGCAAAATGATCTATTTTCGCAGATCGCGGTATTTTGGGCAACTGTAAAGGCTGTTTCAAGAACAATATACATAAGTTGCATTATAAAATTATGTAAAAAATGTCCTTTACCTAGAAACTATACATTTTTGTTTACTTTTGATCATATAAATATCGATCATCCAAGATATAAATTTTACATTTATAGCATTTTTTTAATTGTTGGTGGATTTTTCTAGAATTGCATTTTTCAATAATTAATCTTAGTTTTGTTTGATTTATAATTATTTTATCCTGTTCTATAAGGTTGCTATGATATTTTGAATCATTGTATCATACAATAACCAGAAAATGACATTTTGTATAATTCTAGCGAAATTTTGGAATGTTTATTCTTGACCTTTGACCTTGATTTAACGGAAATTGCACCGTACGATTTTTTTTTTACGACCGGGCAAAACAGAACGTACAGATAACAAGCTTTCGAATGAATGAATGAATGAATGGTTTATTATAGTGCAACCTGCATATATACAATAGATACATATTAGTACAATATTACATTACAGCCAGCCAGATAGGCTTACGATGCACTGACAAATTAAATTGATATATAATATAGCCGTGTGTAAGATGGGTGCATTAAAGTCCTTTATTAAGACTCTTTTTTGGGAAAATGTCACTCGCCTATAAAGAACATTCAGGTAAAGTTTGGTAATATTCTGTCTATAAATTCAGGGAAGATTGTTTTTTAAAACTTTTCCACCTAGGACGGATGGACGGACCGAACGATGACGGTGGATAATAAGAGGTGTCAAAATCCCATATGGGCCTTTTGGCCATGTGCGTTAAAAATGGTGGTGGTGGTTTGGGGGCGGGGTGGGGGTGAGTGAATAGTAGTCGAGCCCCAAGCGCCTGTGCTATTAACGACTTACGGTGAGTGCTTTGTATATTTGAACAAATTTTTACTGTACCACTAGCCTGTAAGCACTGAGTGCACTCAACTCTAATTTAACTAGGATTGTCAGTTTTCCTACCGACGGTCGGTGGCTTTCTCCGGGCACTCCGGCTTCCTCCAGCAATAAAAACTGACCGCCATGAAATAGCATTATAAGGTGCATAACTTCAACAAATGTGCAATCTTCCTGTGAAGTCTCATGGATCTGGGTTAGATAGTTATCAAAGGTACCAGGCTTATATTTTGATACGCCAGACGCGCGTTTCGTCTACATAAGACTCATCAGTGACGCTCAGATCAAAATAGTTAGAAAGCCAAAACAAGTATAAAGTTCAAGATAGATACAAGAAGATGTGGTACGAGTGCCAATGAGACAATTCTCCATCCAAGTCACAATTTGTAAAAGTAAACCATTATAGGTCAAAGTACGGTCTTCAACACGGAGCATTGAAGACCCAAAATTCCAAAAAGTTGTGCCAAATACGGCTAACTAAGGTAATCTATGCCTGGGATAAGAAAATCCTTAGTATTTCGAATAATTCATACTTTTGCAAGCAGAAAATTTATAAAAATGACCATATACTTGATATTCATGTCAACACCGAAGTGCTGACTACTGAGTTGGTGATACCCTCGGGGACGAAACGTCGACCCAGTGGTGTAAATAGTTATCAAAGGTACCAGGCTTATAATTTGAAACGCCAGACGCGCGTTTCGTCTACATAAGACAACTGTAGGAGGTGTTGATTACACAAATTAGGTTTCCTGTTTCATAAATTTTGCTGAAAAATGACTAAGTTTCCAAGTGAAAAATTAACTGTTAACACAAATATGTCTCACCTATTTGTTATTTTGATAATGCAAATGTTGAAATTAAAATAGCAATACTCAAACATGTTAGTTAAGCAAATATACAAAGTCAATGAACCATGACTGAAGGTACAGGGCTAAACAATCTCCATGGAAATGAAATGTGCCAATTCTAATACAACTGCATACCAAATACTATTGACTTTTCATAAGTCGTTCCCTTTAAACAAACCTAAACACAAACATTAACTTGTAAACTATGTAAAAGTTAAAAAGTCAATGAACCATAATGAGGTGGTGAGGTAATATAATCTCCATGGAAATGAAACTTGCAAATGCCAATGCATTTGAATACCAAATATTATTGACTTAACATTAGTGGTTCTTCTTAAACTGACCTAATCACAAACTAATACATGTAAACTAAGCAAAAGATTTAAAGTCAATAGACCATGACTGAGGGGTAAGGACCAACTATTCTCATTGGAAATGAGATGTGCTAATGCTTATTCAACTGCATACCAATTATCATTTACCTACCACTAACGGTTCCCCTTAAACTGACCTAATCACAAACTAATACATGTAAACTAAGCAAAAGTTTCAAAGTCAAAAGACCATGAATGAGGGGGCGGGGCCAAATAATCTCCATGGTAATGAGATGTGCCAATGCTAATACAACTGCATACCAAATAACCTATAGTAGTTCACCATAAACTAGACCTAATCACAAACTAATACATTGTTGACGTCGCCGCCGCCGGAAACAGCATACCTATGTCTCGCTTTTTGACTCCGTCAAAGCGAGACAAAAAATGGGCAAACATTCCTCAAACAATCAGTAGTGTTTAAGGGTTTACAAATACAATGATTTGAAATCATACAAAGTTATTTCAACTGTTAATCAATTCACTAATGAAAATAGACTATAAATGTTATATTCAGTCTTTATAATTGCAAATTCACAATCTAGCAAAGCGTTTATGATTAACAATATTTCTTAAAACCCTGACACATATTGCTAAAGACGTAGAACACATATGTGACCCGACATGACATTTTCCAGGCTTATGGCGGTAAACGTCATAATGAGAAAACGTCGATGCAAAGTGACGTAACGTAATCGGGGCACCTGCTATAGAATGTCCAATTATATCATCCGGTAAAAGAAAGTTTCATTCTTTCTTGACTTGAGGAAATTTGAATTTTATATTAAGATATACAAAACAAAACTAATAATTTAAGTTCAAATCCCGTTTAGAATCGCGTTTTAAATTCACACAATTTATCTTTAGATTTCATTGCGTGCTTCACTTTTCCCTGCATCATTAACATGTTTTCGGTTTACAAAATGGTTTAAATTTTATCACCATTGCGATATATTATTTAGAACAATTAAGTACCGAAAATTATAAATGATGCGTGAATTTATTTCCTGTCCGGAATCAGTTTTGAAACTTACGAAGAAAGAAAAAGTGTTATTTTGCAGAATCTAGCAAAATAGCTTGTTAGGGTGTTTTGAATCTATGTATACTTCATCAAAATGCAAAAAACTCATTTTGACCCTGGTACCTCCATAAGGCTGCAAATCTCATGGCTGGTCACATATAACTAAACACGTAGAACACATATTACTAAAGATGCAGAACATAAAGCCACAATAATAGCCTTAAAATGAATACTAAACAGGGTAAGTTGTATAGAATAATGGATTAATTAATACAATTTCAAATTTCATTATCAGTAAAATTAAAACTAAGCATGAATTACAATCATTATTTTTATAGAGCAAAATGGCTTTGAATACTTTCCTGTTAATTAAAAAATAGTCCTAACCATATTGGGCCATCTTTAAAAAAATATTTATCTGGACAAGAAAACTTTGACAGACAACTGTCACGCAAACTTATGTACACATGTTCTTTTAACAAATGTTGAATATATATATATACTGACTGCAACAAGAGATGAAGGAATTGAATATTTCCGAAGTTATGTCTTATGAATTGTACTATACTGACTAAGTAATAAAACGTTTTGCAACACTAAACAAATAAAAATAAAATATACAGATGATTAAAAAGTAAAACATTCTAATAAAATCTTGAAAATATCACATCATGTGATGATTCTTTGTTATCCATAGAATAATTTTACAGATCGAAATTTGAACGAAGTCTGTTCATAATAAAACCTATAACATATTACAAAAGCATAAGGATCTTGTATATTTTCCATTTCAGTTACATTGACCATGAAAACTTCTGACTGTATTCGGCATCTTTGAAAAAAAAATTGAAACCTGTTCTATCGTTTTATTGATGAACAACTTTCATTCTTTATAAAATCTTATCGATTATTCATTCCTAAGGAAGTAAAAAAAACCTAATATATTTGAATTTGTTTTTCGTCAAAATTATGAAAGCTTTCATAAATGAAAAATAGCAAATGGCATATGCCTTACACTTAATACATGATACAGACTACCTTTTGCTACGGAAAATCGAATCATGCAGATAACAAAAGGACTTTACTGGATTTACCTTCATCTGGAACGTTCAAAGCCGAATATTTGAAAGCCAAAGATGTATAAGAACAGAAACAGTTGAAGAGCTATATGAACAAGAAAGGACATAAAAATAATACCCAATTATATCTAAGGTCAACTGTGCCTGAGAGAGTTGAAACCTTATTGTTTCTTAATAATTTTGAAATTTATAAACGGTCAAGTTGTGTTTCCCTCGGTTTTAGTTTGTAACCCGGATTTGTTTTCTCTTAATCGATTTATGACTTTTGAACAGCGGTATACTACTGTTGCCTTTCTTTATTCAAGTTAAGAAAGTTCAAAATCACTTAAATAATTTAAAATTCTCTAAAAGTTTCACTGATATCCAAATACTATTTAATGTGGGGGTTTGCAACCAATCAAAATGCACTATGAACAACAGAACAAAAGAACAAAGTTTAACATAGTTATCAGTTATATAATCTCCACTTCAGTAAGAAACAAATATCTACATATCATTCACTGGACATTGAGCAACCAACAATCAATCAATCTATATATCATAGTATATCAGAACAGCAACAACATAAATAGCTATGTCATGATCTATTGTTCGAAAGAACTCCACATTCTATATTGCAAAGAATATGCATATAAATAAAATTAACATGCTTTAAATATTCATTAACGAATCCCAACTTTTGTCTATCTGCAGGAATTCGTGTACAACAAATGAAGAAAATAAATTTTGGTAAACTTTTATCATTGGAGTTGCTAAACATCAGAAACTATCTTATTGCTTATATTTTCTAAGTTCACATGATAATCATAATAATGCTTTTGTATTCGAAAGTACCTATTTTGGATAAAACATAATGTGACTGTTCCGAATATGTCAGTTTTTGTTCTAAAAAAGACATGAAAGATGCAGTATGCCTTATTTCATTTATTTTATATGTGTCATTAGAAAGCATTAAAAATTTAAAATTTGTCATTGCAGTGTAGCTGACAGTAAACTTTCGCATCAAAGCACTTTGTAACGTTAGGAAGCTTTTGGTTAATTTCTTTATCAAAATTAAATAAAAAACAAAGCAAATACCGAAAAACACCAAAACGTTCTGTTTCTGCAACAAACTTGAAAAAGACTTCTGAAGTTGTTATCTTCAAAGTGCATTGTACACGTTGTATATTATGGAGAAAGTTTTGAGAATATAAATTTCAGTAAGACTTTTACTTGATAAATCTTATCAAGAAATGACTGGCTTCTGTCTGCATTCAATTTAAGACATAAGCAGTTACTGATCACTACATACACCATGCAACCTTCCTTTGATTTTGACTTCCATTTCTTCCAGATCTTCTAGCTCATTTACATATCCCTGCAAAAGCAATTTAAAAGCTTCCAATCGTTGTAACGTATCGGCATCAAAATTTTGCTCTGTATCACATGACCTACTCATTCGACATCTGATATAGGAAATGCACGCCTTCCGTTCAAACCATTTCAAAGTGCTCTCAGAAGTCAGACTTTTGTCTGTTACTTTGGCGTGTTTTGGAAGTATTTCTTCAAAACACTTTTCTGACTTCAATATTTTACCAGTAGCAAAATAAAGATCTCCCAGTGAGCATACCAGTTTGGGATAGGAAGTATTATCCTTCATACTTTTCATCTTTTCAGAAAGATCTTCACCCCATTCTAAAGCTTCATTACATACTTTGTCTGTGTTCTCTATTTTTATCAAATTTCTGTAACATCCAATTATCAGCTTGACCCATATTGCAGTGAAATGATCGCTTTTATCAGGCAAAACTTTCAAAACACCAAATTCAAAGTAGTTAACTGTTTCTGTAAGTCTACTTTTACAAATTGAAATGTAATCATTCAAAGTAGAAGCATCTACTTCTCTTTCCTTACATAAAAAGTATAAAACAGACTGAATTTTACTCCTCTCTGTTAGGACGGAAGAGAGCCTATCTTTGTTGCTATTCTCATGGTCAGAAATCATTTTTGACAATTCATTGGCAACAGCCAAATATGAGAAAAATATTTGTGCCGTTTGTATATCTCTTTTATCTGAAAGGTAAAACAGTCTTCTGCCATAGGTATGTAAAACAGAAATAACCAGTTCAAACAAAAATTCTTTACTGAGCTCTTCTAATGGTACTGCATATCCTGTAAGGGAAAACTGAACATACTCATCTTTGATCAAGTAAGAGGTTTCTGCTAGTTCCTGTTTTCCCAGTAAACTTGACAGTATCTTTACATCCTCTGCATTCCGATATTTATTTATCACATAATCCTCACTGACATTTTTAACTGAAGACAGATAATTTGCATTGTTAATAAAATCAACAATGGCTGAATAGAGTTCTTTAGTCTTTTCACAAACTAAACTTTCTTGCTGAAGGAGATCGCAATCAGCTTTGAGTAACATGTCAAATTCCACTTGAAATGTTTTTTCTACGTTTAATAGTTCAAACAAGTCCTTTTTTGCATCTTCGAAATATTCACTGGCCTCGCTGAACATTTCATTAAAGCTGTATGTGTATCCTATTATATCTTTTAAGTTTATAACTTGTAAGAAATACTCTAGGTTCTTAAATGGTTCAACTTCTAGTTTGTCCTTCATTTCTGCTTTAATTTTTTCCAAAACGGCACGTGCATGAGGTACAAGTAAATTGTGACGCTGAAGATCTGACTTATGCTTATTGTCTTTGTCCATCAACAAACAGAAAGCTCTTAACAGCTTTTTCAAGAGCTTCTCTTTCGTTAATAGAACATCAGCCTCCATTTTTGTCATATATATCTCTAAGGCTGATTTCACTAAATCATGAGTGTTAATTTTTCTGTTATCATCATGTTCATCTATTGTTCCAAATGAGGAATTCTTAATTTCATAAATAAGGTCGTCAATGCAAAAATCCGATGCTTCGTATGATGTTTTTGTGAACAGAACTACAGGTATATTTTCGACTTCAAGAAATTGTAGTAAGAGTAACATTTCAAATATATGCTTTTTTCCTTCTTGTTTGTATTTCATGTGCTTATCTCTTATTATGCTAACTAGAGAACTAAAAAGAGTTTCGTCCATGAAAGTTTCACTCACGGTTAAAGTTTTTTCAAGTCTTAACATATCCAGAGGAACATTAAGTGTTCGTGTCAGAGCTCCTGCTGAGAGACCTGCTTGAGACATGTATGATCTTGCAATATGCAATCCTTTAGGATTACAGCTAAATTTCTTGGCAAGCTTTAAGTAATTCTCTCTATCTCCACTTTTGCCATATGCCAGAAAATCTACTGCTTCATTTTCTGAAAATCCACTGACTTCTACTACTTCATCTGTGATTTGATCTAGATCTAATGATACTGAGGTTGTCACGATTAGCTTAATGTTTACAACACGCTTACATTTCTTCAAAAAGCCATTCACAGCATGTTTAGAATTTGGCTTGACATCATCTAGAAGCAAGAACTGATATCCTTCTCTATCTTTGATCTCCCTTATTATGGCATCTTCTAGTTTGTTAAGCGTTTCTTTTTGAATGTTTTCTTCTTCAATAATATTAATGTTGGGGAGGCATTTGCAAAGCTCACGCAATGATTTTTCAAACATATTTGTATCTGTACATCGTAACTTATATACGATGATGGTAGGATTGTGTTTCCTGACAATGTAGCAGTACTGTAGAGCAAGTTCAGATTTCCCTGTTCCTATCAAACCTAAAATGATAATTTATAATTTATAAATTGAATTAAAACAAAAGCAGTTTTACCGATGTTCATACATTTGTATCTCATAAATCGGTACAATAATGAATGTGAAAACAAAATTCACCAATAATATAACGCAGCACAAAATGATATTCAACTAATCTGTATCTTTCATTTTTATGCTGATGTTGGTTATAAAGACCGCAAATTTAGATACGATTCATATAAATTCATTTAAAGTTATGCTTGAAGGTTATCAATTTAACATTGTACTTAAATATTTAAATATTTTTTTTATGGGTGTCAACATTGATTTTGTTTTAAAAAACATTAAACATAACCAAATTTATCGCACCTCGGGTGAATTAGTGACGTTATGATTGGTTTTATGCTGTCACGTGGTGACCCCCTATGGATCTGTAGGGGATTAGAAGATTTCAAAGGGGTATCATCACGTCACGTTTATTATAAATGGTGACGTCATCTATTAATGTTATCGTATTTCATTGTTTATTTTAAAGAAAGGTCTTTTGTGCGATAACTTCGTTATACGGTTCACTACCGACCCCCTACGGATCTACAGAGGGTTAGTAAAATATATAGGGGTTTAGGCCTTTGGCCCTCTTTGAATCTGTAACGGGGTTAGTAGCAAACCATAGAAGTTATAAGATATTCTATATATATCTAGATATTGCTATACAGATATGAGTGCTTATGATCCTACATCCTGTCGTTTTTTAGACGGTTAATGACGTCTTTCCACTAGATCCTGGAGGGAACGTGATTTATTTATAAGTGGTAATTACTGCGAGAGCTCTTATTTCGGTGCTTCGTGTCTATTTTTTCCGGGTTATGGGGAGAATTGAGTGCTCACAAATTATTCAACCCACCTCATTCTTTATGTGCCTGTCCCAATTTAGGTTATTAAGTGGTTGTCGTTGATTCATGTCTGTCATGTTTGTTTTTCGTAAATTGTTTTGTTATAAATTACGTCATTAGTTTTCTCGTTTAAATTGTTTAATATTTAATGTTGGGACTCTTTGTAGCTCACTTACCAAGGGTTTTGCTCATTGTTGAAGGCCGTAAGGTTACCTATCATTGCTTTCACTGTTGACATCTGGTGGACAATTGTCTCCTTGGTAATCATACTACATCTCCTTATTTCTTATATTAACAATAACTTAACATCATCTGAATTTGGTTTACAGCTTTCCTCAATAAACGTTCATTTTCAATCTTTAAATTTAAATTACAAAGTAAAAAAAAAAAGACAATGTAACTCCAAAAGAATCTTTCATTCGCAATATGCCAAATTTCTAATTTGTAGACAATTTCAAATTTGTAGACCTATTTGATTTCTGGTATTCATTATATCTTTTTTTGACACCAATCCTTATTTTTGAACAATTGATCATAGATAACCATATATTTTTTTCCATTTGTCGCCAAAGTATCAGATTTTGAATTGTCACGTGCTCCACAGAAGGTTCCACAAGGTGGAAAAAAAAAACTGGTTACCCTTTGGTGCATATGACCAGAGTTCGATTTTCATTGGTCTTTGTAATGCTCATTCTTTAGTTTTCAGAATAGGGTGAACAAATAAAAATTACTTCAGGTATTTTGATAATCTAACAAACTAAAGCAGTAGTAGCATTTCAAATTTATGTTTTGTGCATATTCATATTGAGCTATCCGCACAACTGTGGAGTATTTCGAAAACATCCAAAGGAAATTTAGGTTTTTGTGAGAGGGAACAAATAAAAATTAATTCAGTGTCAAAATTTGCATGTAAAGTCCGGAAAATTACTCTTACAATTCTATAATAGCACGTGCACAGCTTTAACACATAAACAATCGTCCCTGGAAGTGGCAAGGGTCTGAGTTGATAACTATAGAAGTTGATTAAAAAATGTTTACCCTCTTTCATAAATTTATTCTAAAAAAAAACTAAGCGCCCAACTCTAGAAGCATTAAAACATTTCTTAAAACAATTTCATAATACCAGGTGCACATTTTCAACATGTGTGCAATCTTCCTGTGAAGTTTTTAAGGATATGGTTTCAAAACTGTAGGAGGAGTTGATTACACAAAACTTCTACCAATCCCCATCACCTTTCATCTGTATTGGTTTAATTTCAATTTAGCAAAGGAGACCTTGGTTACCTTCCGGAAACCATTGCTCATTTGTTTCTATCTTAAATAACGATGACCACAAACCCTTCACCGTTAAGCCCAACAAATTTCATTCGCAATCAAGCAAGGGATACCCAAGTTATCATCCTGAAACCTACTGACAAACAAACAAACGGACGGACGGCGGGACGACAAGATGGACGGACTGAAAAGTCGATTACTATCTGCTTACAAAAAATGTTATGGGGAACATAACAAAACTTTGGAATTTGTTTGAACTCCTAAAGATGCGGGACTGCGTGTGTCGACATGGTAAGAGTCTTCTGTTACATAGTCATTGGCCGCAATGCAAATCTGTATTGAATAAAATTGTTTCTCCCGGGAATAAGACACAATCAAAACACTCAGTCCACTTACAGACACGACAAGTTTTCAGATATCTAAAGATCTTAGACAGCCACAATATGTCGCAAGTGAGTTTGGACAGAGATATATCACATCGGTCAACCAATAAAAGAGGGACGAAAGATACCAGAGGGACAGTCAAACTCATAGATCGAAAACAAACTGACAACGCCATGGCCAAAAATAAAAAGACAAACAGACAAATAATAGTACAGATGACACAACATAGAAAACTAAAGACTAAGCAACACGAACCCCACCAAAAACTGGGGGTGATCTCAGGTGCTCCGGAAGGGTAAGCAGATCCTGCTCCAATAAGGGATAGTGACCATAAAACATTCGAAGTATTGATCTTTTCCATTACTCTGTTTATTCTTGTATCAGAAGTACACATATTTTATCACGTCTTAGTCTTATTTCACATTACATTTCACGTCATTCTCTTGCAATATTCTTTTGTATTTTGAAAGGATTAATCGCCCTTTTGTCACCTTTAGAATATAAGTTTTACCCTCATTACAAAGAAAAAGCGTATGTTTTAATCACCTTTCACTTTCAGAATAATACGGATTTCTGTGTTTTCAATATAACAAGTTGTACTCACCTTTCAGAATGACACAACTTTTCGTTTCCATACATTTTTTTAATTTTTGATAATATTTTTCGGTATAGATATAATTTTCCACTAAATGCCATTCTTCAATATTGCTAGACACTGAAACAAAACAAAGTTCTAACATTATAGATGTTCATTTGTGCGAATGATGATTCCCAACGAGACACTTTTTAGCAACTTGATGATTCATTCAGTCTGACACAAAAAACATAGTTTGAAAAGGTTTGAATCTCCAGAAATACTAAAAGAATGCAGTAAAAATATAATAAGTTTATGACCATATATCAGTTTATACAAATTTTGCACAAATCATTATTTGCTTTTTGAGTTCCCAAACAAAACAACAACCTTATGTGTTTTAGCAGGTTTTTTCCGCGTTATTCTTATATGACTGAAAAAAGGTTCCAACATAAATGAAACATAAAAAGTATCAGTAAATTTCCTGACAGAAATTATTGCTTCTTGTTTAATATAAAAAAGAAGATGTGGTATGATTGTCAATGAGACAACTCTCCACAAGAGACCAAATGACACAGAAATTAAAAACTATAGGCCACAGTACGGCCTTCAACAATGAGCAAAGCCCATACCGCACAGTCAGCTATAAAAGGCCCCGAAATAACAATGTAAAACAATTCAAACGAGAAAACTAACGGCCTAATTTATGTACAAAAAATGAACGAAGTCTACTTACTTTCATCAACTACAGTTCTGCCTACAACAATGGAGTCATTTACAATGGAATTGTCACCTAAAAAACATGACAAGTGACAGATCAAAGTCATAGTTCATTCACCATATGGGTGAGAGATGTATTGTAATCATACTCATAAATTTATCTTAGTTTATTGTAAACAGAAGAAATATTTGCAAAAGTTCCTATTTTTCAAATTACTATTGGCTATTGTTTATTTTCCTACTATGTTATATAATTTTGAGCGAACTTAGGTTTTATAGGTATAAAGCCATTTGTATCAATTAAATAAAGATTTGAATGCGGCTGTCTGCTAAGGTACCATATAATTTTACTACTACAACACATTGTAGTATACATTTTTATCTCTACCAACCGATCAAAGATAGTTCGTTTAAAATATTCCAATGGTTTGACATTTATTTTGATTTGAAGTGCAATTATGCCATTCACAAAGTGATTAAGAGATGCAGACAAAGATTTTTGTGAAAAAGAGATACAGTCGAAATTCAATAGACATAAATCAAAAGGAAACTGATAGCGCCAAGGGTTAAATAGAAAGAGTACGACAAAATTCTACAAAAAGTTAACTTAGAGACTTCGCAACGCGAACCCTACCAACAACTGTTGTTGTTCTCAGATGCTCCGGAAAGGTAAGCAGATCCTGTGATATTCTTGTTACACAAAAAGTACTAAAAACGAGTTATGAAAAAGAAGAATTGCAATTGACACATCAAAGGTTTTAAAGTCATCATCACGAATTGATGACCAATACGATGCATCAGTTGCTCTCAACAATATGTGTGCCCGGTCTTAGATCTCTAGATACCAGTACAGTTGTCTGATCTGTAATTTTACCAAATGTGTCCTATTCGCAATTCTGACTGAGTAGAAATTCACATGTGGGGGATGCATACATAGCAGGATACACCCACTCTGTTGACGAACCTGGTCTTACTCCTTAATGAGTCAATGTGATTCCGAAAGTTAGTGTATGTTACCTTGACTTGTCTATTCTTAACGGATTTACGAGACTTGAACATCGACGAACTACTTTCGACTTAATGCACCAAATAACATTTAGATTTGTCCTCGATCACAACTTTCAAAAGAAGAAAAAATGAGAGTCTGTTGAATTACATTTACCACTATATATCCTTCAGAATGGAACTTCAATGCAAGTTTGAAATAATTAATACATGCTGTTCTCATCGTTTTGCATAACTTTTGATCTTGGAATTACATTTGTGCATGCAATGTTGATGGCAAAATGTAACTAGAGGCTCTCAAGAGTCTGTGTCGCTCACCTGTATCTACTGTGGTTTTGGAAATCATGTAAAATAAGGTTTAAATCATAATAAATAGTATTAGATACCCTAATAATGATTGAGGCCAAGTTTGGTTTAATTTAGCCCAGTAGTTAAATTAAAAGCAGGTCATCCCACTAGTAACTAGACTTACAATAGTTATTGAAAATCCCTTATCATTATTTAAATTAGTTTTCAAGTTGTGACCATTTGAAATTGGTTTTTTTTAACAATTTTCCCTTAGACTTCTATAGTAAATCCCTATTTTCTATTTTTAGCCATGGCGGCCATGTTGGTTTGATGGCAGGGTCATCGGATACATTTTTCAATCAAGATACTCTATTGAAAAGTGTGGCTAACTTTAATTCTATTTGGCCCAGTAGATTAAGTGGAGAAGATTTTTGTAAAAGATTGCAAAAATATTACGAAAAAAAAATGTTAAAATTGACTATAAAGGACAATAACTCCTAAAGGGGTCAATTAACAATTTTGGTCATGTCGACTTATTTGTAGATCGTACTTTGCTGAACATTATTGCTGTTTACATTTTATCTCTATCTATAATAATATTTAAGATAATAACCAAAAACTGCAAAATTTCCTTAAAATTACCAATTAAGGGGCAGCAACCCAACAATAGGTTGTCTGATTCGTCTGAAAATTTCGGGGCAGATAGATCTAAAACGATAAACATTTTTATCTCATGTCAGATTTGCTCTAAATGCTTTAGTTTCAGAGATATAAGCCAAAAACTGCATTTTACCCCTATGTTCTATTTTTAGCCATGTCGGCCATGTTGGTTGGCAGGCGGGGTCATCGGACACATTTGTTAAACTAGATATCCTAATGATGATTGCGGCCAAGTTTGGTTAAATTTGGCTCAGTAGTTTCAGAGGAGAAGTTTTTTGTAAAAGATTAAAAAAATTTACGAAAAATTGTAAAAAAAATGACTATAAAGGGCAATAACTCCTTAAGGGGTCAATTGACAATTTTGGTCTTGTTGACTTATTTGTAGATCTTAATTTGCTGAACATTATTGCTGTTTACAGTTTATCTCTTTCTATAATAATATTCAAGATAAAAACCAAAAACTGCAAAATTTCTTTAAAATTACCAATTCAGGGGCAGCAACCCAACAACAGGTTGTCTGATTCGTCTGAAAACTTCAGGGCGGATAGATCACAACCTGATAAACATTTTTATCCCATGTCTGATTTGCTCTAAATGCTTTAGTTTCAGAGATATAAGCCAAAAATTTCATTTTACCCCTATGTTCTATTTTTAGCCATGTCGGCCATTTTTGTTGGCAAGCGGGGTCATCAGACACATTTTTTAAACAAGATACCCTAATGATGATTGTGGCTAAGTTTGGTTAAATTTGTCCCAGTAGTTTCAGAGGAGAAGATTTTTGTAAAAGTTAAAGGACGACGGACGACGACGACGACGACGACGATGGACGACGGACGCCAAGTGATGAAAAAAGCTCACTTGGCCCATTGGGCCAGGTGAGCTAAAAAATTATTAAAAGATCTGTTTCTTTGTTAAGAAAAAAGAAGCTGGTAGATACATAGGACCCATTAATTTTGTGAAATACAAGAACAATTCATTATATTCACGGGATACTAGTTTTCTTTTGTTCTTCATTTGTAAATTGGTAAATGAATTTGAACAAATAACTTATAATCAGATCAACGCGGCATTTAGCCTGGAAATAAGCTGTGCATCAATAACCAGACTCCTTATACCTATGATTTGTAAGGGTATCAAAAAGTCATCAGTTAAATAGAAACTTACCAATTGGCCGTCTCTGTATTGAGTTGATGCTCAGGTCTTTAATCTCATCACATATATTGTTTAGGCTTTCTTTAAGCTGATGTGCATCTCCCTTTGTTGCAGGGGAATCTTTAGAAAAATGTCTGAATTTAATGTTGTTGTAAATATTCGTGAAATGACTGTATTACTTTTTATTCAGTTTTCATAATTACACATTTGGTATGTATTTCTTATTTACTGATCTTTAATAGTTTTAAACACGTATGAGTCATTGACACATTGGTACATTTTATTCTCCATAATCTTTTGAAGGTATTCTAATGAATAAAACATTATGAACTTAAACATGAAATGCCTTTGATATTTTTTTAAATATGTAAGACTCAGATCGACATCCAGTCTCTAATCGACCTACGTTCCCCAAATCGACGTGAAAATCTGACGTCACAATACAATAATATTCCAAATCGACGTCTTTTTAGTTGTTCTCAAATCGACGTCCAATATTTGGCTTCTCTTATTGACGTCCGTTTTGTGGATTTGCCTCTATGACGTCATAACTTTATAGTAGATAACGTCGTTGATGTTTTCAACAATGCAACATGACACAATCAAATAATGAAGGATATGTTTTGAAGAGAAAAAAGAACAAAGGTAATACGCAAAGATCAAAACGCCAAGACATTTTGGGCCGACATGTCGTATTTCATGGAAATATCGATGTTAGTCCTTTTATTTTGTTTTAGTTGATTATTTGAAAAGAGATGTAACTGACTTTGTTGTTCCCTCTGATGACTACTAAGTCATTACGATTCGTTATTTATAAAGACAATACGTTTCTTAAAACAGCAAAACGATGGATATGATACAAATAAAGATCAATGTCAAAAACAATGCTGCGCCGAATATAAATCGACATCCTGCAAATGAACATCAATACATCTGTTACCTATTTCGGGTTGAAAAAATCTTTGTCTGTAACTGTTTGACAATTGATTTGTGATAAGAACCCTTCTAAACAGACTAAAATTCATCTTTTATTTCGAATTTGAATGTTCCAAAATCAATCAAAGTCTTATAATGTACATATCTATTATATTTACATGTATACGTGCAGTAATTTGTTATTTATTGATATTGCACATCGATTAAGAAGACTATGAACGATCGGACGTCGTTTTGGCAACACATGTCGTCACATTGGACGTCGATTAGATGATCAAAATATTGGACGTCGATTTGAGAATGTGACGTCAGATTTGGGCGTCAATTTAAGGGACGGACGTCGATTAGAGGCCGGACGTCGATCTGAGTCTAACAAATATCTTTGACGAAATTGTTGTAGTTGTTTGCTACGATGTCTGTTACGATTGGATAAAAGAGACTATTATTAATGAGATTATTATATGATGTATTGTGAAAAAACCTATCATGTAAAACCTTTAAAGTAATTACATAGATCTTGATTGCTTGGGTTCTTCAACAGGCTTTGCTTTGATTTCGCTAGATTTTTTTTAGGTTCATGTATACGCTAGATAAACCATTGCAACAATTATTAATACTAACTACACCTTATGTAAGAATCCTGGGTTTTGATTGGTTGATAGCCAGTGTATTTTTCACCAATTTACTGTTATCAAATGAATATCATTCATTTTTTAACTCCGCCAGGGTATATGCAAAGAGGATATGCCTTTTTTACCCTCTCTGCCATGGTATTTGCCAAAAAATACTCTATCCGACTGGACGCTTGTAACGTCATGATCATCAATGCGTTTTTGAACGTTAACATTCGGTGTAATTAAACAGATATAGCATGTTCTTGAGGGGTATTTGCGAAAAATACCAGTCTTGAGAATGAATTTCCCTCGCCTTACGGCTCGCGAAATTTAACATTCTCTCGACTGGTATTTTTCGCAAATACCCCTCCTTAACATGATATATCTGTTCAAAATACCCCGTCTCAAAATTTGGCAAAGCGGCACATGTGGAATTGAAATCTTTTAATGTGGTTTCGTCAGTAATAAATTAGAGAAAGTTATTATTCTTTATCTCTGCAGATTTGTACTTGATGGGCCTTTTAACTTATTTGGATTGAGTGTCATTGATGGGTCTTTTGTAGACAAAACGAGCGTCCGGTGTACATAGTTTTATGCCTGGTATGACCCAAATGTTGAAAGCGTCAACGCAAACGAAGCAGACATTTCCAAGATGGATCGCCATCTCTCACTTCTTCTACTTTTGTCTCAAGCGAGACAAAAATGATTCTAAAAACGTTTTTATAAACACTAATTTGTAAAATTTACTATAAAGGGCAATAACTCCTTAAGGGGTCAATTGATCATTTTGATCAAATTTAAGGGCAGATAGATCTAAAACTGATAAACATTTTTTATCCCATGTCAGATTTGCTCTAAATGCTTTAGTTTCAGAGCTATAAGCCAAAATCTGCATTTTATGTTTTATTTTAGCCATATCGCCATGTTGGTTGGCAGGCGGGGTCGTCGATAACATTTTTTAATCTAGATACCCTTATGATGATTGTGGCCAAGTTTAGTTAAATTTGACCCAGTAGTTTCAGAGAAGAAGATTTTTGTAAAAGATTAGAAAAATTTATAAAAAATTTCTAAAAATTGCCTATAAATGGCAATAACTCCTTAAGGTGTCAATCGACCATTTTGGTCTTGTTGACTTATTTGTAGATCTTACTTTGCTGAACATTATTGCTGTTTACAGTTATCTCTAGCTATAATAATATTCAGGATAATAACCAAAAACTGCAAAATTTCCTTAAAATTACCAATTCAGGGGCAGCAACCCAACAACGGATTGTCTGATTTGTCTGAAAATGTCAGGGCAGATAAACTAGATAATCCAATGATGATTGTGGCCAAGTTTGGTTAAATTTGACCCAGTTGTTTCAGAGGAGAAGATTTTTGTTAAAGTTAACGGACGACGACGACGGACGATGGACGACGGACGCCAAGTGATGAGAAAAGCTCACTTGGCTTTTCTGGCCAGGTGAGCTAAAAATTGGCATTCAGTAATCGATTTTATACCTTGATATGATGATAACATTTGAGATCTCCATTCTCCAAAATCATCAAACTGCTTTACATTTCCATTGTCATCAACATAATAAGATTCAGGGACTGCAGTGAATACCCCACCAGGTATTCTACACACTTTGACTGCTATAACCTTCCTGTTTTGCTGAAATGCAGATACAGGCAATAAGTATACAAAATAAGTCACAAATATTACACATGTTTGAAATTAGCTAATCATAAGACAACATTATACACATTTGTTTGTTAATAGTAATAATAAATTTACATGACATACAAAACTGTCCTAATACACTAAGGCAATGGTAGCATTAGAAGTATTTGGAACAATTTTTGTGATTTTATTATTTTCAATGCTCTTTGTAGTCGTATTTGAATTGGCTTTCCAGAACTTTTTTGATTCGCTTGCAAAATAAAAGCACGGCATAAACATATAATTTTTTTTTTAAATACTGGGTCAATGCCAGTGCTGGTTGACGTTCAGTTCCTAAGAAGAATCTCCAGCCCAGCAGTCAGCACTTTTAATGTTACATAACATAACTTAAATATGTTTATTTTCTGTGAATTAATTGTTAATGAAATTTTGAGGTTTTTCTTCCCCAATAGATATAAGAAGATGTGGTATGAGTGCCAATGAGACAACTCTCCATCCAAGTCACAATTTATAAAAGTAAACCATTATAGGTCACAGAACGGTCTTCAACACGGAGTCTTGGCTTACACCGAACCGTAAGCTATAAAGGGCCCCAAAAATTACTAGTGTAAAGCCATTCAATAGGGAAAAAACAATGTATAGATTGCACTAGCCGTATTTGGCACAAGGTTTTGGACTTTTAGTTTTCAATGTTCCACAACTTTGTATTTTATTTTGCCTATCAACCGTTGATTTTAATGAAGATTAAGTGCGAGTCTTGCGTATTAAGTAATACTCCTGATATGTTTGATGTGATTTTTTTTTGTCTAGTCTTTCGATGTCAATACATATATGTTTGATTTCAAAAACATGTTCTTGAATTAAAATAATGCTCGAATCGAAATTTCTTACCATAATAGTGTTCCCTTCTCCATCCTCCTGTAAAAGTAAAAGCTTAAATAAGTCTATTATGTGAGAATCTACTAAACAAAACAATCGTATATGCAAGAGCACTTATATAATATATGTTTCTAAAATAAATGTATATATATGCTTAGATACATTATTATAACAATTATTAGTTCTTAACCTGAATGACCTTCGTTTAGGTTGTGCATAAAATAGTTAATTATAAGAAAAGACAATTATAAAAAACGTAAGCTCAAATAATGAATAGAAAAGGTCATACCTCTATATCAAAATATTGAATATCCCAATGTGTTTTTCTTGTTAGCTTTGGGATAGATTTCCCGCAAATCATTCCTCCAATTTTTATTTCAAGTGCAGTTTCTGAAAATGGCAAAACTAAATGGTAATACAAAAATATGCTCAACCTTACGTTATTCATACAGAGCATTAATTTTCCTTTTTTAAATAAACACCATCTGTAAATATAATTTCCTCTTCTCGGTGGTAGCGTGACGTGCTGGCCTTGAGTGCGAGACGTCATGGGTGCGGACCTGGGCCAGCTCAAACCAAAGATTTCGAAACTGAAATCTGTTGCGTGCGCGCTAAGCACGCGGTTTAAGGAGCAACAGCAAAAACAGGTTGACTCGAAGTCAGAATAATGTGTCCGGGTAGGGTGACAATAGATATAAAAAGATGTGGTATGAGTGCCAATCAGACAACTCTCCATCCAATTACAATTTGTAAAAGTAAACCATTATAGGTCAAAGTACGGCCTTCAACACGGAGCCTTGGCTCACACCGAACAGCAAGATATAAAGGGCCCCAAAAATGACTAGTGTAAAACCATTCAAACAGGAAAACCAACAGTCTAATCTATATAAAAACGAGAAACTAGAAACACTTATGAACCACATCAACAAACGACAACCACTGAACATCAGGTTCAAGTCTTCTTGTCAACTGTGACCTTGTGAACTACCATGTTAAAAATCCAGTCCAATGTGTCGGTCTAGTACAAACAGGGTAAATAGTCGTATTACATTAACATGTTCTCGTCCTGAATATGCATCTAATTTGCTGCTGAACGTTTAACATCCATCCATCACCATGAATATAATTTGCAAAATGTGCCTGTACACAAAAACTTATGTTTTTTTTTTTATCAAAACGATATTTGTTTGCAAAACAAATTGTTTGCAGCACTTTAACCTCTTGCAAAAGTTAGACGAAAGACAAAAAAGTTTAATTAACAAATCTAACATAAAAATCCTACCCCAAATTTCTAAATGATATGATGTATAAAAAACTAAAGTAAATAATGAATATAATGAGTTGATGCATCTAAAATGGTTCAGTCCTTTGTGAATTAAATAAGGCTAAAACAAAATTGTATCTAAAAGTACTTACCAATATCTTCATGTGTACACTTTGATAAGTCAATGCCAAAAACTTTTCCATTTGTGTCTCCAATACCATAATAAACAATACCACCTTTGTAATTTCCAAATGCGGAAATGTAATGGGAACACATATTTGCTAACGTATTTGGAACATCCTTTCCGGTTATCTGCTTAAACTGAGTGTCTATATTTTCGTTTCTTAAGCCTCTTACTTCATGATTTAGTTTGTATGTTCGATTTTGTATAATTGGTAATGGACCAGCTGGTCCTTCTTGACTTAAAATTTCCACGGCTTTGGTATATTTTGCTTGATCAGCAGATGACACTGATGGAAAATATGAATACATATCAAGTGTACATAAATTGGGTGCAGGTTTAACAGAAAGCTCTAACACTTCTGATTCACAATCTCCTTTCAGTTGAACATAATCAGTTATGTGGCTGAAAAAGACTTCTTTCATTTTCTTCTCCACTCTGTCATACCAATCATCAAGATCCTTTGATTTGGCTGTTTTGCAGTGTTTATTTCGTAGAATCAATGTTCTTGTTTGATTATCCTTAATGTTAAGGCAAGCACAAACTAATTTTAAAACTGTCTTATCAACCTTATTGTCCTTGATATTTACCAGAACTTCATCATTGACATTGATAATATTTTCTGAAAATAAGAACAAAATCTGAATCCGTTAATTATATCTTTTAAATAGATACAATTTAGTTAGTGTTGAAATTAAGGAACAAACAACAAAGACAAAATAAGTATACACTTTTGTCAAAACACAATTTATAGTTCTGTACGATCGAAACGGTTTTTTGCTTTTTAAAAACATTCCATCTATATATTAAATATAGAAAAAATAGATGTGCTTGAATTCAGTGGTTGTCATTAGTTGCTGTCAGTCATATTTGTTTTCTTTTACTGTTTCAACATAAATCAGACCGTTAGTTTCTTGTTTGAATTGTATCACGTTTCATCATGCCGAGGCCTTTTATAGCTACATGTACAGTTTATTTTTGATCATTGTTTAAAACTGTACGGTGACATATACTTGTTTATATCCACTTCCTCTGGTCTCTTATGGAAAGTTGTCAAATTGACAATCATACATCCTCTTCTTACATTGTATTTTTGAAAATATATGTTGAAATGTCTAACAACTTGTGTTTATATTTATAATTTCCCTTTTAATTGTAAGAAATATTATTAATAAAATTGAGAATGGAAATGGGGAATATGTCAAAGAGACAACAACCCGGTTAAAGAGCAGATAACAGCCGAAGGCCACCAATAGGTATTCAACGCAGCGAGAAAATCCCACACCCGGAGGTGGTCCTCAGTTGGGCCCTAAATAAAAATGTGTACTAGTTCAGTGAAAATGGACGTCATACTAAACTCCAAAACATATAAATGAACTAAAATTTAAAAAACATACAAAACTTACAAAGGTCAGAGGCTCCTGACTTGAGACCGGCGCAAAAATGCGGCCGGGTTAAACATGTTTTTATGAGATCTCAACCCTCCCCCTATACCTCTAGTCAATGTAGAATAAAGAAACACACAGTGATACACACAGTAAAACTCAGTTCAAAAGAACTTTTAAGTATCTTGTACATGAAATAATTACCTTGTTTTGAAACCTGATGGCTTGTCACATATGTATTTCCTGATAAATCCCTATAATTAAAAATATTCAAACAAATACACTGAATTCATTCAAATACTATGCATTGCTATTTGCAAAAGTTTATTGAACATACATTATATGACTTGATGAATTGACATACATTTGTACTTCCAAAAGCCCATTCATGAATTATCAAACGAAATGAATATGCAACTGTTTTTTTTTAATGTGACATAAATTAACCCGACAATCCGACACTTAGTTGAAATGAATAACAATAACCATTCATAACTCATAACGTCTTTACTAATTATGGTGTGCGCTCGGATAAAAAACCATCTTAATTCAAATATATATGACCAAAAACAATGAAAAATGTGTCAAGAGCTTTCCATGTTAGCGGAGAGGAGTTGTTCCCTTCTGACGAGGAGACTTTCATGTATCCAATAGTATAGGGGTTTCGAGAAAGCTTAAAGATAGGGACTATCAATTACACTTCTCATGATGAACTTCTGAGGGAGAGGTTACCATCCAAGATGGAAGGTTTTTTTAACTTATCAAACAATAGAACATTATAGAAAGAATATAGGGATTCCATAAAGGAAAAGCAATTTCAATTGTTGCGGCGGTTTTTGTTAGACCTAGAGAGCTATACCTATCATTTGGCATCCGTCCAGTTATATATATTTGGACACCTTCCCAAATCCGCCAACCAGAATAAAAACCACGCTTAGCAAAAATATTTCGATATACTATAAATGTTCTACCCCAGGAATAGATAGCCTTAGTTTTATCTGCCAAAACATTTCGGAATTTTTGGTCTTCAATGCTCTTCAATTTCGTACCCTATTAGGTCTTTTTTTTCTATTCTAGCGTCACTGATGAGTATTTTGTAGACAAAAAACGCCTCTGGTGTACAAAATATTTATCCGGGTATTTATGATGAGTTTATTTAACAAGGTCTTTGCCAAGTGTTGTTGCTTTTGTGTGGATTTATGTAAAATCATGGCTATGTTGTCTTATTGTTAACAGAGCTTGAGTGGACTTTTTTTCCGATGAACCATTAAACAAATTGAAACAAACTTTAACAGATATGCTCCTCTGATTGCTCTTAGCAAGTATTTGTTTTTAGTGCCGATCTGTACTCCAAAATGGCCACAAGCGAAAATGATATTCTACATCGAAAATGCATGGGAAATCAGATTCTCTTACTCACGAAATATGTAAGGAAACGAAGAATGCTCTTCGGATGTATTTAAATTAACCATACGTCCAGTGCAAGAATAGATTTTGTTTTTTGTTTTTGGAAGTGTTTTGTTTGTAGTTTGTATAAAACACTTGTACATGAGTATTGCAAAACGATATTTCCTATATGACAATAAAATCATGTCACTTCTGGCCAAACGGAAGTTAGTTTATGAAACGTTCGATATTCCCCCCAAAACTATATCTTTTTTTTGGGAAATGAACTGCAAAACGACCTACAATTTTATGACTAGAATTATTATCGACAAATCATACGAGAAAATATTGTTTGTGTGTGTCATTCAAAATTAACAAATGAATAATTAGTCACAACATTCATTTGCTTTTGATCTTACCTTTGCTTTGCTTTTCTATTTTTGTCTAGTTCCCTTTTTTCTGTTGAAGGATTCACAGATTTACTGATTTTAAAACCTGTAAATATCATTAGGGAATATCAAAACCAGATTACAGATGGCAACCATAATAAGCAGCCAATTAGGTCACCTGTCACCGCATGGTTTCGCTCTCAAAGCAACAAATGTGGCAAGCACTCGAAGCGATGAGAACTCTTCTTTTAACAGCTAAAGTCTTTTTGCAAGTCTTTTCATCAGCATTAAAAGCTGACAGTCAATGAAACTAGTTGTAACCTCTTTCTAGTAATTTTTTTTTTCCGGGGTCAATATATTTATTAAATATATACATAATATCAACACAACATCTCATTTTTTTTTCATTTTTTTTTCTTCGAAAGTTGTGTTTTATAGCGGCGGCAATGAATTGTACTTTCTAATAATTTGTTTTGGGATGCAACACGTCTTCTGATTAGCTGAATTTTTTTTGTCTATCAGCTCATAGACATAATTTTGTCATGTGACCTTGACGTCATCAATGTTTTTTCGTGATTTACTCCTTAATATGGACTTTAGAACTAAATTATAAGGAATGACTGTAATATTTTTTTTTTCTGTCTATGAAGAAATAACATCCAAAATGTGGTGTACACTGTATAACCCGCGTCTATAATATATTTAAGGTATTTTTTTCTGTCAGGACAAGATCCAATAATGGTAATCTGAATTTTTAAAGAGTACCAAATGGCAGAGTGCTAAGCATCTGAGAAGGATATAAAGTTTCAATTTCCCCTGTCCGGGATAAAAGTAAATATAATTGAGGATCTAAACGGGGAACGTGTTAAAGAGACAACAACCGTACCAAAGAGCAGAAAACAGCCCAAAACCACCAATCATGGTTCTTCACCACAGAGAGAATATCCCGCACCTGGCGTCGGGCGGCATCTGGTCCCTAAACAATAACGTTTACTAGTTCAGCGAAACAATCCCTTCAGACAACGTCCTTCACTTGAGCTTTAAATGGTTATGAACTCAGATGTACAGAATTGCCGAGGTGTACCAAAAAAGTCTCCTAAGTTTCATTTGAATACTAGTAAACTATGATAAATAATTTGCTTTAAAATAAAAAAAAAAAATTTTATTTCCTTAAAACAACGATTTAATAGGGATCGGAAAAGATTATCTGAAAAGTATTGTACAGGTGAAAAAATACATTATCAACAAGTAAATGCAGCAACGAAAATATAAACATGCATTAAAATTACTAATAAGTTTAGCACTTTTAGTGTAGTGTTAACCAAAAGTAAATACTTATTTTATTACATACCTCCTGGTAAAAAATCTTTAGATCCATGCATGATGTCTTCAGACATTGCTCCCTGTTGTTCATATTGCTGTCGGTTAGAACTGTCATTCTTAGTATATGCTGGGATCTGGCTAGGTGTTGTAGCTTGAGTTATAGGGTCACCAAAAGCAGTTGTGAATTGATTCTGGTGTCTTAAACTTAAATATGAAATATTATCTGTTTCCTCACTGAGTGGTGTTGGAATTTCTTGCGCAACCGTAAAATTTGAAGCCATGTTCTCATTGGAATTGTTGATATTTTTGTCTACGTCAGTCTCCATTTTCCTTTCTACTGTTATTATAGAATTGCAATCACTTGAATATTCTTCTGAAATAGATAATTGGAAATAGATAATTGTGTACTTTTGAAACCAATTCTTCTTTAAATCATTATTTGCAATCGAAGTTCGTTAATTGAGCAATAAAAATGTCTTTGTGTGATACCATATTGTATACAATATGAATAACTACCTGACTGTGATGAAGATGTGTATTAAATGCACTAGATGGTAATGTAGAAATAGTGGGGGAAGAACATTCAATATAGTGTACATGTAGAAGTTTAATAAATAAATATGTAATCAGCTGATCTGAAACGATGACAAATTATTTTTTTTACAGTTCGAATTTGAATCGAAAATTGAATCACATGATACGATCAGATGAAATTTGAAGGTATATATAATGTGACATAATGGTCCATTTAATACTAAGACAAAACTTATCTCCAATGATGCCCTCTGAATAACTCAAAATATAATAATATAATATATATACATACATTCTGTATGTGCCTTTCCCAAGTCAGGAGTCTATAATTCAGTGATTGTCGTTTGTTACTGTATATCATATTTGTTTTTCGTTCATTATTTTGTACATTAATCAGGCCGTTAGTTTTCTCCTTTGAATTGTTTTACATTTGTCATTTCTGGGCCATTTATATCTGAAACAGTCTCCGGGACAAGTTTGCACTTCCGCTGAGTGCAAAAGTTGTCACCTTAATTTTTGGAGTTAAGTCAAAATGAAGTTGATAACTTGGTTAGTATTGGTTCCCTGATATTTGTCCTAAAATTTTTTGGCTCTAGCACCACTGTTGAAAAAGTTATGCCCCTTTTTGCAACAATTTCCTCAGAGGAAAAGTAGTTTTCCTCAAGGGAAATCAAATTTCCCTTAAGGAAAAAGAAAATTGTATTTTCCTCAAGGGAAAAAGATTTCCCTTAGGGAATTTGCTGCATTAATATTTCCTTTGAGGAAATTCTATTTCCTGTGAGGAAATTTGCGGCTTCAAATTTTCCTTTGAGGAAATTTGATGCTTCGAATTTTCCTGTGAGGAAATTTGCGGCTTCAAATTTTCCTTTGAGGAAATACTTTTTCCTGTGAGGAAATTTTGTCAACAGCAATTTCCTGTGAGGAAATTTTTGACAAACACTTTTCCTTGAGGGAAAATTCAAGACCACAAATTTCCTCTAAGGAAAACATTGTTCTCAAAATTTCCTCTATGGAAATTTCTGTTGTTCAATTTTCCTCTATGAAAATTTCATAACAGTAAAAACAGTATGAATATAATTTTTCCTGAGACTGAATAATTGATACAAAAGATAATTAAAACTTTAATAAAATGTTCACTGATGAGTAACATGGCAAACAAAAACAATAGGCTAGCTGTTTGAGACAATACAATAATAAGCAAAACGCTATGAATATCATACTATTTGTGATGTTATTAATATTGTGCATATTTGCAGATTAAATAAAATAACCACTTTTCATGTTAATTTAACTTTTCTTCTGTTTAAGCTGCTGCATACAATTATTCAATCCCCTACATAACAGTTCAGTGCATAAATAATTCCATCCACCAGACATCTTCCTTCAATTGGTAAAGAATACATTTTTGCAATTTGTTCTTCAAACATCTTCCTCTGTATATTTGATATGACACAGCTATGTACATGAATGGATAAAGCATATGTTTATTTCAACAAAATATTATTTTTTCTACATTTTTCCATAATCCTTCAGTGAATATGTAGGTTGTTGCAATTACACAATTGTGTTCTTGTGCATCTATGATTGTATTCCATTTTGTTTACAGCCATTTTGTAGAAATTTCCTATTTTCTTTTTCCAGGTAAGCACACATTTCATTTCACATTAATCCAATTAGCACACAATGTAGAAAAGTATTAACCTTAAGTTTCATCTTCTGTATAGACCTGTTGATGATCATGAAAACCATGAAGTCTCACCTATAAATACACAAAGTATAAATTGAGAAAAAAACAGCAATAGGAAATAAGCTTATTTTATCATGTTTAATATGAACATTTTGAGAAACTTAAATTTGATATTCTTACTGATCATGATTATGAGTTCTGTTATTTCAGTGCTTTGTGTCCACGCCTTGATATCAGTCGTTTTAGTGCCTTGCAGTGATAATGAGTTGAGCCACTTGCAACAGTTTTCACAGTTTGTTCATATGTTGTGCTATTTGAACCGCTGTCCTAGATTATGGTTAGGTGGAGTGCTCACAGACATGATTTTTGTATTAATTGTTATTGGCTTTGAACTAATTTGGATTGTTTAAATCTTTTCATGTTGGGGTCTTTATTGGCTGACTTATAAGGTATGGGTTTTCTCATTATCGAAGGCCGTCATTGGTCTTTAATTGCTTGCATCCACTTCATTGAACTCTGGTGGATAGATAACTCATTAACCATACCACATCTTCTTATTTTTATAATAGTCATCATTCAAGGGCAATCACTTTTATTATATAGAAGTGGTCTTACCATTTAGGCCTTGTTGTCTTCTGTTTATCTTGTTTTGCCGATCATTTCTACTGTACAGTTGTAATTGTTTATATTTTTCTTTATTTTCTATATTTCTTGCCCTAAACTTAAAAAAGGTAAAAACTATAATTTAATGACTATAACTATTATTATACATCAGTATGTGTTATTCTATATACCATGATATAAAAAAGGAATGAAATATTTGTGCTATTTCATTTCACAGACTATTTGCCAGTCAACAGTTTCAAAGACATAACCACGGTCAATAGTTTAACAAACAAACATTCCCATACTTTTTCATCGTGTTCATACTAATATTTCAATGGACAACAATGACGTGATTAACTATTCTTCTATGATTTGTGTGCTTGACAACATTAAACTCTGAAATATTGTTAACGGTATAATCTGTATGTGTCTGTCGTCAAAATTTCAAATTAATATATTACTTATAGAAGCAATTAAAACAAGAGGCTCACAAAATGAATGTGGTCTAAGAACTTAAAAATTTCTAATTTACCTATTCAAACCATATCATTATTATTTGCTTTTATATATAAATCAGAAATAAACAATTTAAAATGGAAAATTTTAAAGAAAACAAAAGGAAAAAAAATCCCTCCCAAACTTTTTGAACCCCCTTATGATTCATTACCCCCAAACTCAATCCCAGCCTTCCCTATGTGGTATGGTACCTTGCAGTACAATTTCAGAGAGATCCATACACTGTCTGGAAACTAGAAAAATGCTTGTTTTTTGGCCCTTTTTTGGCCCCAAATTCCTAAACGTTTAGGGCAAAAAACCCCAAACTCAATGCCAGCTTTCCCTTTGTGATATGGAAACTTGTAGTACAATTTCATAAAGATCCATACACTTACACACAAGTTATTGTCCTAAAACTAGAAAAATGCTTGTTTTTTGCCCCTTTTTTGCCCCTAATTCCTAAAATTTTGAGGCAATTACCCCCAAAATCAATCCCAGCCTTCCCTTTGTAGTATGGTACCTTGCAGTACAATTTCAGAGAGACCCATACACTTGAACACAAGTTATTGTCTGGAAACTAGAAAAATGCTTATTTTTGGCCCCTTTTTGACCCCTTATTCCTAAACATTGTGGGCAATTACTCCCCAAAATCAATTCCAGCTTTCCCTTTGTGATATGGAACCTTGTAGTACAATTTCAGAAAGATCCATACACTTACACACAAGTTATTGTCATGAAACTAGAAAAATGCTTGTTTTTTCCCCCTTTTTTGGCCCCCAATTCCTAAAATTTTGAGGCAATTACCCCCAAAATCAATCCCTGCATTCCCTTTGTGATATCAAACCTAATGGTACAATGTCAGAGCGGTCCATACACTAACACACAAGTTATGTCTGGAAGTTACAAAAATGCTTATTTTTGGCCCTAATTCCTTAACTGTTGGTACCATAACCCCCAAAATCATTCCCAACCTTCCTTTTGTGGTATTGAACCTATAGGTAAAATTTCATAGAGATCCATTCACTTAAACTAAAGTAAGAAGGCGAAAACCAATGTGTCTTTGGACGACGACAACGTCATACCAATATTTTGACCGCAAACGTATAAAAACTGCAAAGTTTCTTTAAAATTACCAATCTAGTGGCAGCAACCCAACAATGGATTGTTCGATTCATCTGAAAATTTAATGGCTGATAGAACTTGACATAATGAACAATTTTACCTCGCATAGGATTTGCTCTAAATGCTTTAGTGTTTGAGATATAAGCCAAAAACTGCATTTTCCCCCCTTTGTTCTATTTTTAGACATGGCAGCCATGTTTCTTGATGAAACAGAAAATAAAACACAAGCTTTATTCTGAATACCCTAAGGATCATTCAGCCTAAGTTTGGTTAGAATTGGTTAAGTAGTTTCAGAGGAGAAGTTTGTTTAAAGTCAGAAAACATGATAAACAAATTGTGTAAAATTGTCGTTAAAGTGCAATAACTCCTTAAGGGGTCCATTGACAATTTTGGTTATAGAAACTTATTTGTAGATCTTACTTTGCTGAACATTTTTGCTGTTTACAGTTTATCTTTATCATTAATAATATTCAAGATAATAATCAAAAACTGCAAATTTTCCTTGAAATTACCAATTTAGTGACAGCAACCCAACAATCATGACAATAGGTTATTAGATTTATCAGAAAATTTCAGGGCTGGTAGAACTTTGAACACCTAATGAACAATTTACTCTGTGTCAGATTTGCTCTAAATGCTTTGGGTTCTGAGATAAAAGCCAAAAACTGCATTTACCCCTATGTTCTTATTTAGCCATGACAACGACAACCATGTTTTTTGATGAAACAAAAAACAAAACACAAACTTTATTGTACATACCCTAAAGATCATTCAGCTTAAGTTTGGTAGGAATTGGTTCAGTAGAGGAGAAGATGTATGAAATAGTTTACACACGACGGACGCCAACCGTTGACGACAGACAACGACAGACAACGACGGATGCCAAGTGATGGCAAAATCTCACTGTTCCTTCGGAACGATGAGCTAAAAAGGCAAATTTAAAAAATTGCGCTGGCTCGATCTAATAGAGATTTTTACAGTGTAGTGTACTACTTTTGGGACAGGACATATTAACATAATAGAAAAATCTATAAGCTATAACTCAAAATATGGACAATTTTATGTTTAAAGGGTCTATAATTTAGTTTGACAACTTCAGACATACTAATATTTTACCTTTTCAAACTATACCAAATCACTACTTAAGGATGTTCACTACTCTGTTTCAAAATAACAAGCTTTTTAAAAGACTGTTATAAATTGAAAGTATATGAATTAAGGAACTAAAAAAAACAGAAAAAATGAAGGGTCCGTGTGCTTGTTTTTAAGATATAAGCCATTAAAAATTTGGCGGGAAGTGATTCTCTCTAGACTTTTCATACACTTAACACTGGCACCTTTTTCTTTCAAAAGCTATGGAAAAATAACAAGGATTTTATAAGATTTTCAAATATGGCTTTTTAAACTATGTAATAAAAATATGAAAAGAAAAGCAGGGGTTTGCGGGCAAAATTTTTTAATGGCACTGCATGGATAAAACCAGAGGATTCCGAATATCTGGTAAAAATTCAAAATCAAGAGGAGCGAACATCCTTAACCTAATAAAAAAAAACACATTTTTTTCCAATGTAATTTCATCCGTAATATTTAAAGAAATAAATTTGGAAGGAGTATGAAAATAATTTGCAAGTTATACACTATCCACACTAGAGACCTAATAGAGTAGAAATACTAATTTTAATCAAACTTGGCATGAACTAAGATTAGGGAATTATAAGACAGTTTACCTAGTTTCATGGCAATAGCATATATACATGAAAGACTATTAGTTCATTCTTATGTTTGAACTTTGGGTGTTAATTTTTTGCCGTTTAAAGTTTAACGTTTAACTATCAAGATTTGGGCCTACATTATTTAAATATTGCAAAAAATTGCTTTTTAAATGTCTTTATAACTAATATATATAATTGTGTATGTCACATGTATGTTCATGATGTATTTTAATGTAAAGCAGCTGAATACTCATTTGCTGTCTCAGATTTATTTCAATTCTTCAAAAGTCGAATTTATATGAGCCTATGCCTGAAAATAGAGATTTCAAATTAAGGGGGGAGGAGGCTTATATAAAAATTCTCCATGTATATTTAAAAAAAAAGTTATTTGTATTTCAAAAGGGAAGAAAGTTACTTATCTGCTTATAGCATACCACTTGAGTAGAACAAGGTCCCATTAGGCCATGCAAGACTGAATAACATTTAAGGTCAATATAGGCAGTAACACATTTTACATGTATATGAAAAGGCATACACATAAGCTAGAGGAAATAAAAATGTATTTCTTTTTGGTAATTTGTAGGCTAAGGTGACATCATACAAGAAGTATGGGTGATTCTCAAACTAAAATAAAATAATTTCATCCCCCTACTTCATTGTACTTACTTTTTATGCATAAAAAATATAAATAAATAAATTTTGAAGTAATACATGGTCCACACATGGGAATCTTTTTGTAAAAAATGAAAATCAATGGATGATAACTGTGTACTTGGACTAACAATTAAGATTTCACATGCTGAAATGTCTCGTCAGCACAATCTCAATCACTGAATCAGTGAAATACATTATTTTTTTTTTTTTTAAAAGTCATATGGTAGTAGTCCAAATAATTATGACGCATTGCCAGACTTTTTTTTTCTCTCTGACGCCGTAGGAAGGAGAAGCAAGGATTTGTATAGAGTCTCACTATACAAATCCTTGGGAGAAGTTAGTTGACATAACATGTATGTTATCATGCAAAATCAACAGTAATGAGTATACCTATGATTGTCATCGTCACTGCAAATGGATCATTAATACTAGGGGGAATGGAACCAATAAATTGATCGGTTCCGATATGAAGTTCCCAGTAACGGAGAACCTCTAACTTTGAGGTAATATGTTTAGTGTCGGTGGTCTCACAAATGAATCAGGGTTAATTGCAGGTACATTAATTAGCAGAGAATAGACAATTATCAACTTGTTATTCATTATCTCTCAGTTATTTACGGTTAATTAGCTGTATATATCCCAAAACAGGTGCTCGGAGCTATAGTACTAGTCTATGACTTTTAAGTAACAATTATATAAATTTATATTCACAATCAGTGGCGGATCGAAGTGGGATGGGATCCGGGGGTTTGACTCCCCTTTTTGTGAACGATTAATGCATTTAATGGAGACATATATTTGGACCCCCTTTATCCTGGCTGGAATCGCCCCTGATATTACATGTAAATCAAGTCCCGGGTTACTGTTAGCACAATAGCATAACGGTAATCACAAAGAGTGTGGTAATTTTAAAAAGGACGAGGATTTATAAATATATAATTTTTAAATAGGGGGAGAGTGCACTTCACGATGATCGAAAAAAGTGCCTTGCACGTTATTTTCATCATCTTGTCTGAAACAGTCTGAATAATGAGCTTTAAGGCAAAGCGCGGAAACAATAAGTGAGGGGGGGGGGGGGGGGGTAGGAGGGGTCCTGATCCCGTTATCCCGGGCTTAAAAACATGGAATCCCGAGGTCCCGAATGTAAAAAAAATTAAATTCCGACATCCCGAAATTCGAAAAAGAATTCCCGGATCCCTAAAGGATCAATCACGAAATCCCGAGCTTAAAACACCCGATCCCGGAATCCCGACAAAGGTCCTACAACCCCCCCCCCCCCCCCCCCCCCCCCCCCCCCGTAAGTCATGTGAAATACTAATGACAAACACTTTGTACGGACAAACCCTTAAATCCCTCAATGTTATGTCAAATGAATTATAGCGAGGAAAGGTAAATTTAATTTAATATCAAAACTAAATATTTGTTATATTTCGCTCCTGATTTCTCAAGAAATCATAGAATCAATAAATGTATAAATTATAACTATGTCTGTGTGAAATCCATTTCATGAGACCAAGGATTTCTATAAAATCCTTGATGGGACCCTATATATATACAGTTTTCTATTTTCCCCCGGAAAATTTTTTAAAAAATATAATCTTTTGGGAAATAATCCGATTTTGTTGAATTATTTCCCTTCATACTTATGATAAAGCCTTTTAGTTCTTCAATTTTAAATTAAAATAAATATTTCATTTTGATCTAACGATAAACTTTTTAAATTGTAGTGGCATGGTCAGTCAACTGATTAGTTGCATGGCTGATTACCAGTTTACTGGTGACCCAGTAATTTTCCATATGACAGTGGCGTGTACCCTTGGGGTGTGTGTAACTTATTTTGAATACCTTAATTTTCGGGGGAACATCCTGTCCACGTGTAATACTTAGTATATATTGTAACAGATGACATTAAACAAATTTTCTTTGTAGCATCGGTGTCCATTTTATGTTCAACCACTCAAAATGTTCACAAAAAAGATAATATAATAAAATCATTAAAACAAAAGATTAAAAAAACACTAGCAAATAAACTTCGCAATGAGTAAACGGGGATTTGTTTTTTTGAAGGGCTTATTTCCAGTGGATATATTTTATACTAGATAACTATACCTGAGATAACTTTTTTTTGTAAAATATATATTTTATTTTTTTTCATATCATTCTCAAATCTCGATCATCTTAAATAAATGTACAAAAAATAATTTTGTTATAACTCATAAATATATGGTTAATCATAATTGTTATAAATTATAAAATGGTAAGTCAATGCCCGATGTGCCACCGTCTGTTGCAAAACTACGATTTAATCTTTTAAATGAAAGACGTGCACTGCCTTCATCGGAACAGAGGAAAGTCCACCTAGTGTACATTAAAGAGTATCCGTTTGTTATGCTGAAAAAAAGAGATCATCAAAAACTTTTTAGCAGACCTTCTCGTGTAAAAAAAAACAAACTTTTAACTGAATTAAACAAAAAATTATCAAACAAAACTCATGAGAACACTCATACTAACATTTTGTTCAGACCTGAGATAACTTATAGTAAGATTATTTATATAGAACAATTAACAAAAAAAAATGTCCGTAGTCTCAGCTATAATGTACAAAATTTTAAACAGCTTCAAATATATGGCCTTATCATTGGTAATATATCATATTTGTATCAGTTATTGCTGAACGTGTAACCAAATTAAAATGAAGAAATAGGCTCGAAACCGCATTTTTTAAAGATATTTTTTTTTTCAATCCCAAAATAGATAATAGATATGCAGATATTAGAGTCCAGATGAGAAGATTAACTTTCTTTTCTACCGAAGATTTAGGATATCAATAAATTATTAAATTCATTAATTTATTAAATTTGAACATGTGAACCAAACAAAGAAAAAAATAAACGGGAAATTGGCTATACCTTTTTGGTTTATTCCCGATTGTCCCACATTTTAAAATTTAAGAGTTCTGATTGTCCCACATGAAAAGTTCTGATTGTCCCACATTATTTTCATATTTTAAATGTTCTTAAATAAACAATGCAATTGTTGTTTATTTTGCAATATCAAATTAAAATTAATTATTGCATGAACATACTACATGTAGTTGTTGATATCAATTTTGTAAATGTAATTATGAATTGTTGAATAAATCATCAGTTAAAAGGAACTTTTGATTAAACAATATAAAATATATGTAATGAACGATATCTATAATGTTAGGTTATTTATAAATTAAATATCAATATTTTTTTTTTTTTAATTTTAAAGTTGTTATTTAAATTTTAAACATATGGACGCAATTTTGTCTTCTTTTCACATATATGAGCTCTCAGACTAAAAGGTCTAGAGACTGATTTAGAAAAAACAAACATTTACAATCAAAATGTTACATAAGCATAAGCTATTTTGTTACTTAATAATTAGAATTTAATAAAATAGAGGGCAAGGGGTCACCCTGTTGTCCAGTAATGTCATCAATGTCCTCTGAACAATTTTATTATAAAAAGATGAACTGATTGCTGTTAAACGTCCAGCGGCAAGTTGAATGCATAATCAGGACGAGAACATGTTGGATTTAGATGAATATGAAACCTTCTTTGAAAAGAACAAGAACGACACAGTCAACAATCCGGATTTTAACGTGCTAGTTCACAAGATAACAGTCTGTAGGAAGACATGTCACCCTACACAGACACATCATTCTAAGTAAGAACTGACCAGTCTTTATTCCAAGTCCAAAATGCAGCGTGCTTTGAGGAGACGAATTCCAACTTTCCATTCTTTGGTTTGACCCAGCAAGGGGGTCAATTTCTTTTTATTGCGTATAGTTATACCAGTAGCTATAAAATCAACATATCTGCTCATTATTTTGTTTTATGTTTATGATTTTCTAATTCAAGGATTTTCTTATTAATATTTTTTTTTTAAATTCCCCCACTTTTGTTCGCTTGAATTGAATGCTCACTTGAACACTTTTATGATCAGACTTAATATGGAATATGTTATTGCTGTGTGTTTGTTTATTCTACATTGGCTAGAGGTATAGGGTAGGGTTGAGATATCACAAAACAAGTATAACCCCGCTCATTTTTGCGCCTGTCCCAAGTCTTGCCTTTGTTAGTCTTGTATGTTTTTTTTTAATTTTAGTTCATTTATATGTTTCGAAGTTTAGTGTAATGTCCATTTTCACTGAACTAGTACACATTTTAGTTTAGGGGCCAGCTGAAGCTTGTCTCCGGTGCGTGATTTTCTCGCTGTGTTGAAGACCCATTGGTGGCATTGGGCTGTTTTCTGCTCTTTGTTCAGTTGTTGTCTCTTTGACACATTCCCCATTTCCATTCTCAATTTTATTTAATTCTTTGTTTTATGAATATATTTATTATCAGCCTAAAACCTGTCAATTTAGAACAAATTCCTGAAATTTTGGAACATGTAAAATTATTCTTATCTCTTTGACATCTCTTTAACACATCTTTTAATTTAATTTTATTCTTTCCTTGATACTTCTAATTTTTTCAATTATGGACTATATATATGTTCAATTACAATTATCTATGTTATAAGAGTCTATTTAATCTTTTATGAAGTTAAAATATATCTATCTTTTTATATAATTGTTCTTTATTTGGACAGTCAGTTTAACAAAATATCACAAAACAAAATAAAATATGTAAATGCCATCTTTTCTCCATGTTTATTTAAAATTATATAAGTAACATTGGTATATTGCTTGTAATTACCTGCTACACACTTTAAAAACAAATTAATCACTAACAAAACAGTTCCCAATTGTCCCACATTTAAAATTCCGAATTGTCCCACAAACATCTTCCCGATTGTCCCACAAAATTTCATTACTTTATTACCTGTAATTTCAAAAAGTGGGACAATCGGGAAGACACCACCTTTTTGGTATTAGCCATGAAGCCATGTATGTACCAGCCATTTTAACTTATTGTTTTCTTAACCTTTAAAGAATACATTTTAAAATGAACTACTTTATTTATAGTAGTTCAAGAAAAAATATATATATATATATATATGTTAGATAACACTTTCCTTTATATTCAATGGAACAAGAAGCGAATTTGTTAGCGAACTAGAGTAACTATAGAAATAGCGTCGTTACAGGTCTTCTTCTGACCGGCAATAAATCCTTAGCAGTATTGACAGTGGAACGTGTCGTCCATTTGGCCACGTCCGAATGGGGACGGTGAATCCTTGCAAACACTCTTCGAGTGGACTGTAAGTAGCCTGGTATTAGGCCAATTTTCTGTCCCTCCTTTTTCATTGGCAGTCGAAATTTTCCGACCGTATCATGGGCGGTCTCAATTACAAGACCTACATGTACCTATCATATATTATTCGATACGTCAGACACACCCGACATTAATCAACCAAAAACTCAATATTTTACAGTAAGGAATGAATATCTCCCACGTTCACTTGTCCCTTGAAGGATCAATATTGAATTTCTTCCATCCCCCCCCCTTTTTTATAAGATTACATTATGACGTATGTTTTTTTTTTTTATTTTTGCGAAAGACCAACAAATCGATTTTATCACCAAATTTGTCTTTACTGAGATTAACACTAAAAAAAGTATAACAAAACGTAACGATTGAAAACTCACAGTTCAGTTTTTAAGATATTTTTTCTTTGGAAACTAACAGACTAATTTTCAAAAAGTTTTTTTCTTGAACCTTTTTTTATTAAAACGAATTTGTAAACAAAAGTTGTTCTTAAATATTAATAATGATCAATGATTGTAAAGAAAAAAATCCATCATAATAGTTTGTTAATTTACTGGCTCCATGGTGTTAAAGGTTGCAGTCTTGTAATTGACTGCTCCATAGGCTTACATGCAAAACAGCTGATCTTTGAAAATAAAAAAATTAAAAATGCTACATAGAAAAAAATTTTCATGTTCATATCATGTATTTACTAATGTGAAATTGTGATTTAATCGAAAAAAAAGTGGGTCATGCCACGAAGAATAAAAAGTTACATAACGCTGAAGTCAAAACAATTTTTTTCTACTTTCTGTTTGCTGTTTTTACTAGGCCGCACCACTTCCAGTAAACATGATATCCTTCCACTTTCTTGGATTGATATCCCCAAAAAGATGCAAGATTTTTTTTAAATCTATATATATGTTTCAATTCAGCATAAACTTTTAATCAAACAGAAAAAATTGAGTCCAGAAAAAAATTCTGAAAAAAATGGACTATTTTATTTACCTCCATGTTTTGACATGCACCGGAAACTGGAGTTGTAATACAAGACTGGTACCTATAACTATAATGAAATGTCTTAAAAAAATAAATCATTTACTTAGTTTCATTAAGTTGCCATATTTGAACATAAAAAATGCCATTAAAAGAATTGTTTAGTTGTATTAATAAATATAATCCCACTATTAAAGGAGTACCCCTTTCTGAAAAAAGGCAAAATTTGGAAATAAGTCATGCCTATCAAATGATCTGTAAATCTCATTATAGTCTATCTTTATGAATGATTTTTTATTATTTGGATACTGTGAAGCTAGAAGAGAATTCTTATCTATTATTTTTATTTTTTTCCTTCTATTTGATTGAACCACATTCAATAGTTTACCCCTCCCCCTTTTTTCCATGAAATCTACCCAAGTGGGCCTCTTGTTTAAGTCAAATTGAAAAACTACCCAAAACTTTTTCATATTGAAGAATTTGTTGCAATTCAACTATCTAAAGACAAGAATGACCATACCTTTCTCTTTTTTGACTATACATGTCTTTATACATGTCTACTATATGATGGTTTTAGACTGTACTTGACACCCCAATGCATAT